CGGTTGGAACAGATAATGAGCAGGCTCCTTAAGCCTAACCCAGCTGCAGCTCGGCCTGCCCCTGCGTCGTTTCCACTCTTATCTACTCCAGGATTTGCCCCTCAGTTTTCCCAGTTTGCTAATCCAGCAGGAAAGATCGAATGCTTCAACTGCAAACAGCCCGGGCATTTTGCTCGAGACTGTGCGCAGTCGAAACGAAATCAGCCCCCCCCTGCTGCGGCCCCCGTCGCCCTTAATCAAGGTCAAATGGCCGCTCCGATGGACACGGACCCAGGAAAAGAATTCGTGGCATACGCCCCGGAGCAGCCTTTCCCCTCGACGACAATGGCGTCGACATCAGGAGCTTCCTCCTCTGACGCTGCTGACATAGTCGACCCCCTTGAGTATCTTCATCTCGCCGGAATGATCGGAGTGATCCGATCGGCCCAGGATGATCTCGAATGGGTCGATCGTGAATCCAATCCCGGACCCAGTTTCAGACAGGAGATATTGATGTGTTAAAAACGCTCAAGCAATCAGATATTCGTGTACCTATCCCAGTAGGACATCTGCTCACCATATCTGAAGCGGCGAACGATAAACTTCTACAACATTGCCAGAAGAATCAAAAGCGCTTCACCTATAAGCGCATACAGCGGATGTTGAAGAAGAAGGAAGGAGGTGAGGAAGTTGCACCCCTCGAGCCAGATATAAAAGAACCTGAACCCGAAGCCGCACGCGTAGCCGTCATCTCTTTAGCAGAAAAGGATCACTTCGTACGAGCTCGACCAGTACTATGGAAAAGTGCGGAATGTGACTGCAAAGTTTGGGGTAAGCCGTTTAACGCCCTCATCGACACAGGGTCTTCTGCAGTAGCCATATCGTTAGATACTGTCAAAAAGACGGGACGACTTGGATCCATTCTTCCTCAATCTGGCAAAGACAACTATGTCTCTGCCGACGAGGAGGCAATGAATATCGTAGGTATTATCGAGAACGTGGCTGTAAAAGTAGGACGAGTACACGTCCTTGTCAACGCGCTTGTAATAGATGTACGCTCCTATTCTGTGTTATTGGGATTACCTTGGGCAATGGCGGTAGGCGCACGACTGCATTTCGATTCGAAGCAACTAGTGCTCACACAAACTCGAGGAAAACCTCAGACTGTTCCCTTGCGGGTTTCCACCCGAACGATAAAACGGGTTCCCAACTCACCCCAAATAGGGATGATCCGAGGCATTGATCCCGAGGAGTGCTTCCCCTCGCGCCTCGGAGAGGGAATCAGGGAACGAGAATACGAATAAGAGATGCCCAGTAAAGAGGAATGGAAGCATCTGGTCGAACTTTTCGAACACGAAACCCCCGAGGAATTTCTAGTGTGCCCCAACACCGCTTGAAGCTTCCACGTGGATTCCGAAGATAGTACATTCACTCCTCTAACAACCCAGGTCAATCCTTCCGTCCTCCTTGGGGAACCCATATTACAAGTCTCCGATCTGGCTGATGATTTGGAACCCCCTTGCACTTTGTACGAGGGAGCTCTTTCCTTACGAACGCGTTATCAGCAAACGGAACAGTATTTGGACGTTACTGTTTTTCCACCCCAATCATTGCTAACAACAGGAGTCATCATCACCTTGATTAAACAAAACGCGGAGGCACCGGTAAGTGATGTGTCAAATCCAATGCAAGAAATGTCGGATCTAACAGGACTAACTGTGAAACCGACTTCGGTTGATTCAGAGACTGGCGCTGAAACAAAATAAACAGAGATGATCATCCCCGCTGAGTCCCAGATGATAGCAACTGTCTTTTCTGTTCGCACCAATAGTTCCGTTTTCTCTAGTGTCCATGAGCGGCGGGAACGACCAGTTGACTGGATCGATATGCCCCTTAATATGTCCGGGGAATCAGCGATCCCCCTCCCGAGTCACGTTCCCGCGGAATTTCGAAAGTCGCTAATCTGTGTATAGAATGGTTACGCAGATGTGCTGAGCATGCATGACAATGATATTGGGTTAACTAATGTAATTGAACATGCCATTCTCACGGGAAATCATCCACCCATTAGCCGCGCTCCCTACCGATACTCGCCAGCTCAACGAGCGGCCGCCTTTCAGCGGATTAAGGAATTCGAAGCTAATGGATGGATCAAACCCGCTATAGGACCGTGGTCTTTTCCTGTAGTGATAGTACCCAAGAAGGCTGGGGGGATTCCCATTTGCATTCATTATCGAAAGTTGAATGACATCACGATTAAAGATATGTATCCCCTCCCCCGGATTGATGAGTTATTAGATGTGATTGGGAGTGCTCGATTTTTCAGCAAATTTGATGTTCGCCATGGGTTCCATCATCTTTTTGTCCGAGAGGAAGATCGACCAAAAACAGCGTTCGTGCTTTTTGAGGGCACGTGGCAGTGGATTCGATGTTTGATGGGTATATGCAATGCCCCTGCGACCTTTCAGCGGGCCATGAACATGGTTTTTCAGAACTTCGTACGGAAGACTCGTTTGGCGCAGAGTATCATCAACTACTGCGTGATTGTATACATGGATGACATCCTGGTCTATTCGAGTTCCTACGAAGGACACGTGCAGCACATCGAATGGGCACTGCATGCGTTACGAGATGCAGGCTTCAAGGTGGCGCTAGAGAAATGTCAGTTTTTTCTCACCACCATTTCCTTCCTTGGGCACGTGGTGACAGACAAGGGACTCCAACCGGAACCACATAAGGTGGCAGCTGCCAGGGACGCGCCACTGCCTACCACTATCACGCAAGTTCGCGCTTTTTTGGGCCTCGCTTCGTATTACCGAAGATTTATCAAGGGCTTCGCGGCAATTGCGGGACCCCTCACAAATCTCCTGTGCAAGGATCAGCCATTGATCTGGACGCCAGAGTGCGATCGAGCGTTTTTCAAACTCAAAGCTGCCCTCATTTCGGCTCCGATCCTTATAAACCGGATCCCGAAAAGCTTTTTGTTCTAATCACCGACTGGCAGCCAGAGGCGATTTCGGCGATCCGCGGAATTGAGAAAGTGATAGAATATGCGTCCAAATCAGTGCCCGCCTGCAAACGCGACTACACCGCTCCGACGGGAGAATGCTATGCGGCTCTCTGGGGAATCAGTCGCTTTCGTGCTTACCTGTACGGACGAAAATTCACCCTGGTAACTGATCATGAGCCCCTGTTGGCTCTGAAGAAATCGAAGGATTACTCGGGCATGATCGGGCGATGGGCAACAGTGCTGCAGAGCATGGACTTTGACATCCGTCATCGAAAGCACGAAAGACATGGGAACGCGGATGGATTGACATGATTGCATCGACCAGAGAAAGTTCTGAAGAGTGAGGAGGTGATTCCGCGGAACGAACCAAAACCGGAGATCGGACCTCGGTACGGCCAAGTGAAGATCCTGTCGAAGTAGTAAGTGACACGCAGACTAATTCAGTCCCATCTCTTCCCCTCTGTCATCATGACTACCTCGCCTGCCTTCACAACCCCCTCTTCTCCCACTAATTTTGCCCATCTTACTTCCTCAGCTTTCTTTGCCACCCTCCCCGATAAATTCTTTTATTTCTGCACGTGCATTGCACGGGTTTATGGGGTCGACTGTCATCCTTTTGAAACTGGGTTTGTCGATTGGGTAGAATGTGCCATGTATATCAACCGTGCGCATGGGGCCTGCGTACGATATCGGACGAGTAGCAAGGAATGGAGGTGCCCCCTATGTAGAACGAACAAACTCCCCACGGAGGTTCGATTCGAGGCCGCTCGTACGGACTGAATACGACGAAAAATACCGACGAGCGGAGGTTTGGACAGATAAAATTTAATTGGCAAAATTAGTGGGGTTATCATTGGGCCACCTCACCAAACGCGACAGACGTAGGGCGACCGAGAGATCTCGGGACTATCGATGGATCAATGGTCATTTGGAAAAACGTAAAACTGACGGATTTTGTTCTTGGCTGACAGTTCCCCATCCCTTCCAGAGATACGATTGGATCCGATCTGCTCACGAGGAACAAGCCGCTCATTTCGCGATACGTGTCACGGAGGCAACTGTAAACCAGAACCGATGGTTCTGGTCCAATATACGAGATGATGTCAAATACATTGTCGCTAACTGTCTGATCTGTGCGCTGATCGCGCCCCTATACGGGGACCAAACACAATCATACCAACGAAAGTAGAGCGTCCCTTCCACCGAGTCAATATGGACACGATAGATATTGACGTGCCCCCTGGCCCAAACCGCTGTGAATATTCTATTTTATTAGTGTTAATCGACCACTTTTCCAAGTATATCGAAGTCTATCCCTGTAAGACCCGAAGGGCCGCAGAAATAGCCACGTACATCGAACGGTTCCTCTATACCCATCTAGATACGAAAGAAATTCTAACCGGCAATGAATCTGAATTTAAAGGTGAGGTATAAGAACTACTTGCGCAAAGGGGCGTCACGCTCCGACATACGGCACCCCACGTGTCCCAGTCGAACGGGTTGGCCGAGAATGCCAACCGTATGATTAAAACCGCCCTTCGCAGGAACTTAGCGGCGCACGACACGCGTCCTTGGCCCGAAATCATATATCAGATCGTCGGCGTCCACCGGGCCACCCCTCACGAGTCTACGGGGTTCACCCCCTTTCAGCTTCGAACTAATAGCCTCCCCTGTGTTGATTACTGGGGTAACTCGGAAATTGCCGAAGCAGGGGGTAGAGACACGCGTGCAGCCCTGAGAGCCAAGGCCAAAAGGTACGTCGACTTGATGGAACGGGCCGTTCCGAAATTAGCCCAAAAGAGGCAAAGGATGACCGAACTGGCCCACGGTAGACAAATCCGTAGCTATGAGGCTTGGAACGGGAATGATGGGCCCCAGTACCAATATAAATTAGGGGACCTAGTGCAGGTACGTAAATGTGCACGCGACCGGAAACTCGCTCCCAGATTCTCTGGTTGTTTTCGCGTTGTCGAGCTAGGACCCAACGGCACTAACACGGTGCGCATCGCGCCTGAGGCTAGCACCAGTCACGGCTCCGTCCCCATCGTCCGGCATACCTCCTACCTCCATCTCCTTCCTCCTTCCAATCTTCCTCCCTCTTCTCCTTCGGAAAGCGAGGAAAACAACGACGATCTAACCCTCTGTCTTCTTTCTCCCTCCTCCTGTCCCTCGTACTCCTCTCCGATCTCGCCATGAGTTTTATCATGGAGCAGGTTCTGGACTTACAGCTGCCGCAGTCACGTGGCAACATCTCGGAAATTAGGCAAGTTTGTCACCCTCGGCTCAATACGGATCTCCGCCGTCTGATGCGATTCTTCTGCGACGAAGGTATATGTGCCGCCGCCGCGTTTCGGATAGAAGGAAGCCCTCACGCGATAATATTCACAGAGGTTACTGCAGTTCATCTGCGAGCGGGTCCCATAACGAGCCATGTCACCACAGCGACGGGATTCACTGGCGACATCAGCTCGGTCAATAAGCTGAGGCATACCGCGATCTTGGCCTCGCTGTGCGAGTGGACGGAGCAAGTGTCCAACGTATGGCAGCACGTCCTCGCCCGGGAAGTGTATAACATCATCCCGAACTCTGCATCGTATCTTGACGGTAAGCGGGCGGCCAGTTCTGATTCCCACCCTCGTTCCCTTCCCCCATCCCCAATGAACCACGCCAATCTTCTCGCTCCTCTCTCTATCTTTGGTCTTCCCTCTCTCTTCCCCACCTTCTGGCAATCTGATCTTCACCCTTCTCTCTCCTTCTCATTCGAACCACTTTCGGTCCCTCTTATCAATCCTGGACATTGGCGGCTGTGGCGCGAGACTTTTGAGGAATTGTCTTTCTGCCTCGCCCGAGACAAGTGAAGTGGACGGGCACTGTCGAGCACCCCACGTGGATCGAGAGTCCGAAGCTGCTAATCATACAAGGTTGGAGGACTAACGTGGAAGGAAATCTTATCGGATTCCTCTTTGGATCGGTACAACCGGGTCGCCGTCTGTTGATTGCACATGAGCTCATCGCACCAATTGTGCAATTGGCGGACGACCTCTCGCCCGACATCTACTTTCAAAGTGACAACAGTCCTGCTCCGTACATTTTCGAGCGATTCTTGGACCCGTACCTTCAGTGGACTTCGTGCTTGGAGGAGCCTAGGAACGAGGATACGCTACCATCGTGGCAGGAGTATCTGAAGCCGTACGAGATCATCCCTTACGCCTTCTACCCGAGGGCAGAAGAAGTGGTGTTCGACGACGACGAAGAAGAAAACGACGACGAGGAAACATCGGAGGAGGGAAGCCATAGTGAACATAGCGAGGGCGAGTTGAGTGAGGAGGAAGAGAAAGAAGAAGGAACCGGGTCCGAGTGGGAAGCCCCGCCGGCGAAAACGACACGTACGGAAACGGAAGCGGAAGATTCGGAAGCGGCGCGAAGCCCGAAGATGGCGGCCCTGCAGCTGCCACCTCGAGTACCGCGCGACGGAGACAGCGCCGATCCCCCTCCTCCACTAGCCCCACCCGTCCCCCAGTTCGCCCATGTACCGATGCGGGCGATAGGCCTTCGTCCTCGGACGCTGTCCCGCCGGCCCCTTGATTTCCTCACCCTCGAGCAGATCCGTACCCCCGTCACCTTCCCTTCCCACCCTTTCCATCCCCATCTCTTCCGTGACTTCTACTCTACCCGTTTACTCGCCACCGTCCACCCTCACGCCTCCCTTCAGTCCGCTGCTCCCACATTCTGATGGCATCTCCTGCTGTTCAGTGTTGCATGAGAGCAAAGTAACATGGTAGAGGTCTACTGCGTTGCCACGGGGACAATCCCCGCCTGTCGCCACTTCGAAAACTTTCGAGCGGCACTCTTCCGCACCCTCTCCTCCTTCTATCGCGATTACCTCGCTTCCCTCCCCCGCAGTGGCGATCATTTCCCCACTTCCACCGGATCATCCGATACGAGGAACTCCCGGTGACGATGGAAGAGATGAATCGCTTCCTACCCCCACCCCCTCCCCGTCATCCCCGCGAGATCCCCGACATGTACCGCCTCTACTGGCCTATTCCAACTAGGCGGTGGTAGATCCCATTCACTTTAACCACCCCCCCCCTCCCCTTTCCTCCCTTCATCAGCACGAATCAGTAAGCTTCGCGAAAGATCACGCCATCAATGATTACGTCAACCTATGCGCTGATTCGACGGACAGCAACGAGCAGGGGTGCAGAGCACACGGAGATCGGGTGGACCATGATGGCGTCACCTGGACGATCTCCACGAGGTAGAGGGTTGCATATGACAGGGCTGCAGAGATCTTGCCATGGATGTTGTCGCCATCTCATTCGCGGGTCAAGTTATCATTCCTTGTACTTCCTTCTACTCTGTTGATACGTTTGGTTCCTCATGCATCACTCTGTTCTCCCCTCTTCTTTTTCGCCGTGACATGCAATCAAGAGATCGCATAATTTTGGAACCCCTTGCGCGTCACATATGTGACGAACCACTTCACGAACCCGTGCTATCTTTCGTACCCTTTCTTTTGCTTGTATCATACCAACCCCAAGAAAACCCCATTTTCAGTTCTTGCTTTCGGGTGCCACATTTTCCTTTTTGAGAGTTTTTTCGACTGCTGAGTTCTGTTTTTCTTCTTGCAAAGTCGGGAAATACATGGGAATTTATGTGCACCTTAGCGAGCGCACTGGGAATTGGGCTCGGTAGTTGGGAATTCTGGGATAAGCGGAACTTCGATGCGTCCTTTTTGGGTGTGTGAATGTTCTTGGGTGCGTCGGGGAAAACTCTCGGAATTTTGCGTGAATACGAATAGGCGTAGGAATTTTTTTTCCCACGTCGCTTTTTTGCACGCGGATATAGTGATTTCAATTTTGAATTAGGATAGAAGCAAACTGTAACTGTTTCGGTGCCTTTTTTTTTTTTTTTTTTGACGGCGACGTGCATGCAAAAGCTTCCTCCTCTCTGTCCCCCGCATCGCTCTCTCCTGCGCCTCCCTTCCCTTCTCCCTCCTTTTTCTCTCTCCCCGTAACTATTTTTCCTTTTCCCTCTCTCTCTCTCCCGCCTTGCTTTCGCGCGCTCATTTCCCTTTCTTGATCATCTGAATCTTGGACCCGTCTTGCGCCACCTCTCGCGCCTTTTCTCTTCTCACCCTCTACGTCTGACGTATGACACCCGGTCGATCCCCCGATAACTCCCGCTCGCCAATCAGGTGCGTGGATCGATAGGACCTTCCTATCGTACGACGAATCTGATTGGTTGAACCTTGAGTTCCGAGGGATCAACATGGCGTTCGTAAAGCACTCTTCTCAAAGTCATCTCCTCCTGCTTCTCCTCTTACACCTCAACTTTTTTGTCGCCTTCTCCCCCTTCTATCTCCCCTGTCGCAACTATAAAACCCGCAAGCGCGTCCGCAAAGCTCTCTTACGTTCTCGACTCCTAAGCCAGCTTCCGGGAAGCCGTGGCTAGGCAGAGAAAGTCCTGTCGGGCTGACGATAGGCTGGCTGGTTGCGCGCTTGATCGCCACGACAGACTGTGGGATCCGGGCGAACCGTGTCGAGCTTACGACAGCGGGGTGACGATCGCAGTGGTGGGAGTTAGCACACGACGGCCGCGATCCTCGGTGCGGGTATGAGGTTCGATGATTGGAGTTGAGTGATGATTGGCCCGGGGCCATATTGGAATTAACGGCGAATGCGCCTTTGTTGTTGCGGATCTTTACCTTTGGCGTGAGTGCATGGTGGTCATGTCAAATGTCTCTCTCACAAATCTGGTCATCACCTATCTCGACTCTCTCTCTCTCTCTCTCTCTCTCTCTCTCTCTCTCTCTCTCTCTCTCTCTCTCTCTCTCTCTCTCTCTCTCTCTCTCTCTCTCTCCCCCCCTCTCTCTTTTCTCGACTTTTGAACAATGATGTGTCTCGATTGATTGTCTCTCGCTTTCTCTCCTAAGTAGGAGCAATTCGGTGCGCTTCTCTTGCGTAAAAGAACTTCTTCCGAAACTCTTCCATTAGTTTCCTGGGTAATCCTCCTACGCAAGGACCCCGCTATCTTGTCTTGTGGACGGTGAATGCGTGTGTACTGTGCAACGCGACCCATCTTTTCGGGTGCATGTCTCATTTTCGCACCTTCCACAGTGAATGCGTGTATGGAATATGTGACTCCTTTGTTGATTAGACGATTGTCGTCGGGATTTTGTTCGAGAATGCAAGAGTGTTTAGATTTGTAGCTCCGTTTGCACTACGCATGTCATCTGCCTTATGCTGCACGACATCAGCAGTCGATCCACGAGGCGCCCCTGAGAAACAAGGCGCCCAGGAACCTACGTTGTGTTGAATTGATCGGACCCGTAGTCATATGCCTGATCAAGCTGATCTGTGTCTGCTCTCTCTCTCGTGTCAAAAAGATTGATTGGGGGACGCGCGAATCGCTTTTTGTTCTTAATGACGTCTCAGGATATTTTGTGATTGACACGTGTATGTGAGTGGGACGTACGAGAAGCCGTTGCACGAATCGGCGGGCAATATTACTTCCCTCCGGCCAACCGCTGTTCTGGGTTTGTAGAAGCCGGGTTTGTTATTATCAATACGCACTTCCCACCTTACTCGGTATTGTTGCCATTTAACGAGTTGATTGTCATTCCATGGACGGCAGTAGAACCCCACTGGCCGCGCACTCTGTGCACCGAATGTCAGCGTTTTGAGCGCTACGAGTCCAGGGGTTTTTACTACCATGTGCGGAGCGAAGCCGAGCATAAAGAAAGAGCCACGCGGCTGAGACCCTCCACGTCAGACTCAGAACTAACCAGCGAACGACGACGAGATTTGATACGAAAACGAGACACGCGAAGCGTGCCCAAGCCTTTCTGTTCTAAATGATGGGCTGTACCCCGGTGGGAGGCACGACAATACTTTTTGGATTGAATTTTGACCTTTCCCTCTCTTCCCGCTTTACCGCGCGCACATTTTGCGACGCGCGAAAACGATCGACTTGCTCCATCGGACCAACACGGGGGATTTCAGTTTCGTCTGTGTCCCCACACTCAATTTCCAAAAATCCTTGGCACACCCCATCTTGCTGTTTTTCTGGGCCTCTTTTCCGCACAGCTAACACTCCGAACGAAAGGCAGCACAGGGTGTGAGGTTGCGCGTCACACATCCCCACGTCGCCTTCCTGTTCACCAAACATTCCCATCACCTACCCCTCTCGCCCCTGGCCCCAATCACAGGACGGCCTGTCAGGCCTTTTTTATTGTCATTATACTATTACGGGGCACCCCGTAGCAGCCACATCCGTGCTCAAACCTTCAACGAGGGAACATGCAGGAGCCTCACCCACCAGCAGGTGCGATACCTCCTGCTACAGCCGGTAGCATCAGGACCTACAGTAGCTTCTTCGATGGGCCAGTCACTGTGCCTCCCCTCCGGTCCCCTTCCCCTATAAACATCAGCAGTCTCTGCTCAATGCCACTCGGGGGGACCAATGGCATATCTCTAGGTGTCGGGCGCCAAGCTTGCCCAGGAAGGTGTATGAGGCCTATGGGGATTGAAACCAAGACCTCCTGAATGCCACTTGCGTGCCTTACCAACTGAGCTAGGCTGCACAAATGAAGAAAAAACTGCTAAAAAAGAAAAGAAAGTGCTCTTCTCACAGATGGTGTCTGCTTCAGGCGGGGGGTCAGATGTCAGGGTATGATTCACTGACCATGGCTGTGGCAGTCGATACGACTGCATGGACCATATTCATTAACAACAGTCTGAGGCTTCCTTGAAATAGTTCGCAGTGCACACCTTTCTGTTGTTCTGACAGAAATTCTCTTTGGCAAAGGAGGGNCTCCCAAACCACAATCAATTTCCAGCGATGAAGCCATTCGTCTTTGCCTTCGCCGTGAGTGAAACGCTGTCTCTTATACACATCTAGATGTGTATAAGAGACAGGTGCACACCTTTCTGTTGTTCTGACAGAAATTCTCTTTGGCAAAGGAGGGGAAGAGTAACTCCACTCAAAAAAAAAAAAAAAAAAAAAAAAAAAAAAAGAGTAACTCCATACACCATTTGCTGTAGGTGAGGGGATCGAACCCTCCCAAACCACAATCAATTTCCAGCGATGAAGCCATTCGTCTTTGCCTTCTCCATGAATGAAGCGTGCGTGATTTCATGAACCAAAAAAATGGGTCTCGATTTCACGCACATTTGGGACCGCCACACAGCAAAAACGAAAGAAAAACCTACCAATGGGAGAGCAAAAAAAAACATCCTTTTCCCCGGGCTTAATTCACAAAAACAGGCTACCGCTGATTTCCTCCAAATCCACGATGCCTGACAGTCACACACCTGAAACACTAATCCACATACATCCGTAGTGGGATCTCGCTCCAGGTAAAGGGAGGCCAGGGACCTCACAATTCAACCCAGAGTTATACTGGCAGCATCAGCCAGGTTAGCTTACGAGCATTGCTCGAACTTCTGTTTTTTTTTTTTTTTTTTACTAGTCCTTTTCTTATCTTTTTTCTTTGGAAAAACTAGGGTGCTGTCACGGTTTCAGTTTGAAAATGCGTTTCAGTCGCGATTAGGCAAATGTTGTGTCAAACCGAGGAAAATCATGAATGTACACAACCCACCTTACGGTTGGGTGGGGATGAGTTGTATTCGAGGGATGCCTGAACTGGATTTTAAACTGAAATTGTGAGTGCGCCCTAGTTCGCAGCCAGGAGGCCGCTGCGCTATACCCGATTGCGTTTTGGCTTTCCCCATCGGGTAACATCGACGACCTTTTGAGGGCTTAGATAGGCTTAG